AGCGGTGCGGGGCCAGGGACAGGGCAGGCATGCAGGGAGCCTGTCCCGGCACGGACTGCTGCCACCCCAGAGCTGCTTTAGGTAAGCGGCGCCAGGCCGGAACCTGAACCCCTCCTGCACCCCGCCCCCAACTCCCTGCCCTAAGGCCCCTGCCTGCACCTCGCAGCCCTTCTGCACCCCAATCCCCTGCCCGGAGCCCCCTCGTACATCCCACACCCATCCTGCACCCTAATCCCCTGCCCTGAGCCCCCTCGTACACCCCGCAACCCTCCTGCACACCAACCCCCTGCCATGAGCCCCCTGGTACAGCCCACACCCCGCCCCCCAACTCCCCTGCCCTCAGCCCCCTACCTGCATCCCGCACCCCTCCTGCACCCCAACTCCCTTCCCTGAGCCCCCTCATACACCCCTCCCTCGCCCTGAATCCCTTCCTGCACACCGCACTCCCTCCCACACCCAAATCCCCTGCCCTGCATACAATTTCCCCACCCAGATGTGGCCCTCGGCCCAAAACAGTTTGCCCACCCCTGCTATAAGCCCAAGCTGTTCATATCCCAAACCGATGTAAATACTCAGCTATGAACTTCTAGAACACACATGATGGAATTAAGGGTAGGTAAATTTTGTATCCGTAAAAGTGCAGCATGGTGTCAGCCTGTGGAACTCAGGGCGACAGGAGAACATATAATCAAATACTTTAGCTGAATTTTCAGAACGGGCTGGATAATTTTATGACCATCAGTATTTGCAGTTAGGAGGAGGTGGAGCGAGGTAAATGATGCACTTCAGGCCATAGAACTGATTGCCATAGAGGTCAGGAAATAATTTCCTTCGCTTGTTGGCTAGAGAACGTCACATACTGGGCCAGGTAAACATCAGGGATTGTTGCAACCAGCAAAAGGATATTGGACTTCATGGGACAGCAATCCAATCTGCTACAGTGAATCCTGTTCTGCTTGACTAACCCCAACTGTCGAGGTGGAGTATCCTGTCATGTGGTTTTGATTTCTTAATGTTGCACTCTGCTCCATAAAGTTATTGGTTGACTATAAGATTCAACCAAGTGCTAACTGCAACATTCAAACAATGAATAGTGTTTAAATACATCAGTTTATTGAATTTTCTCTTACGACATTGTCCATCTATTTAGTCATCAGACATTTTAAAGACAACGCTGAGGCTCAGGATGACAACCTGTGAGAATTCGTACTCAAACTACATTTTAATATTTCACGTGAACTGCCTGAAAATACGATTATTGTGATGCTAGTAGCAATAGTATTAAAATAGCATCTAGGGTCCCAATGTGAGATCGGGGCCTCATTGTGCTAGGCACTGTACAGGCACGGTAAGAGACCAACCTTGCCCCAAAAAGCTGCTTACATTTTACATATACAGCACCAAGAGTGAGAGAAAGGAAGTGCTATTATCTCTAATTTACAGATGGGGAACAGAGGCACAGAGAGATTAAGTGACTTGCCCACGGTGATACAGGAAGTCTGTGGCAGAGCAGGGACTTGAACTGAGGTTTCCTGAGTTCCAGTTCAGTGCATTAACCACAAGAATATCCTTCCTCTTAAGGAACAGAAAACTGCCCTGGGATCAGCGGACAACCAGCAGAGGAATTATAAAGAATTAATGAGACTCAAGTATGTCTCTTTAGATTTTTCTGTAATTGAGGAGAGAAACCAAGGAGAAACTGTAGTTATTTTTGGCAGGGAGGTTCCTAGGGCACACACTTGTGGTAGATGGTTAAACTATGCCTTACTCTGAGACGAAACAAAAGCACACAACGCAATACACTAGATACAGCAAAGTGGTTACACGCAGCCTATGTAATGAAGCCCTTGAGAATTGTCATGCTGTATTACAGATATAAAGAAAGGCAAAGAGCAGACTTCCCTCTGCGTATTGGTTTTGGCATAGCTGCCAAAAGTTTGTTTTCATAGATAGCTTGAACATATATTTATATATTTGTTTCAGAATCTTACCACACATAAACCAGGTCCTTGTTCTTTCACCACAGCTGATAAATGGGAATAAAATTTTGTTTGCCTAGCATGATAGCATCCCTCCCTGGAGACTCTATGTGGTTACAACTTCACAGCCTCCAGACAAATACTGTCTTAGTGCCAGAAAGCTCAGCACTGATTCAGGCTTGCCCTGGGGGAGGCCTTTCTCTGGCAGCTGTTAAAATTATAATGTTAAAGCTTTCTAATACATATGAGGCATTCAATAAATTTGTTTTAAAATCGAGCAGCTTTTCCACAGTGATGTTGGAGAGATCAGCCTGGTTCCTCCAACCACACCCACTTCTTGATTTAAAACACGACTGAATTCCATTTCTTTTCTGTTTAGATTTGGACAGTATAAAAATTAACTAGACAGCTATAAATGAATAGGAATTTACAGAGAGTTTGTCACTCTTGAAGCACACTGAAGACAACTGATGATGGGCATTGTTTATGGGGTGGATAAAATACTATTTCAAAATTAATTTAAAATTTCTTTAGAAAAACTAAAGTACTTAAAGGACATGTCTGAACTGTGGCGCCATTGGGCCAAATGCAAACCAAAGTTAGGTGGTAAAACTGCTGATATTCTGGGCATGCTAGCAATTCCACTATTGCTACTCATGGTGAAATTGCCTAGTGCTAGACCAACACTGGGTAAAAGTGCTAGTGCAGCCAAACGTAAATGGGTTCACTCTGCTAATCTGCTTGGAATTCAGCAATTCTTACCAAACCAGATAGGTGCTAAATACCACATTCCAAAGGGATTATCACCTTCCCCTCCGCCTCTGCTCTTACTGATTGGGGACAAAAAGATAAATTGTTTCTACCCATGAAGGGAGGAATAGGAGGGGAATTCCTGGCTCCTGGTCTTGCTGCAGCTGCTCACTTCTGGAAGTGATACAGCCTTCCAGAGCTGCCCCCTCCCCACCCCACATACATAGGCCTGCCTGCCTGCCAGTACTGTACCATGTTAGGCTATCAGTGGGATAAGTGCTGTAAATTTTCAGTGCAGAGGCAGCCTTTAGTGGAAAGAAACTTCCCCATAAACCCATCTGAAGCCCTGCACTGGGGCAGTTT